CCGGCCCTCGGAGCTGTGGGGTTCTCCTTCCAGCCCCATTCTGGCCGGTGTCGGAGGGCTTTGTGCACCGTCTGCCCTCATCCCTAGGGCCAGATTATTATTTTTATTTATTATTATTATTATTATTAATTATCTTCTCAATTTGTCTCCCCTTCCCCCTTAATTTCACAAATAAATCCCTCTCCCTGCTCAATTCAGCTCTGCCTTTCCAGGGTGGGCGTGTGGTCCTGACTGACTTCTGCCCGCCAGTGTGTAAAAGATAACGATCCTCCTCTGAGAGATTAAAAGAAAAACATCTCGGTCCGGATGCGTTCTGTTTCCTGTGGAAGGGGAGAGGTGGTTATGTGTGTCCCAGGTGCCCCGAGGAGGAATTCACCGGTAGTTGGGAAGTGTTTGAAGTGCAGGGCTTGGTTTGTTTGTTTTTTAAAAAAGGTTACTTTGTTACCTGTAAGGAAAAATGTTTATCCTTTCTGTATCTTCCTGGCTCATGATGGCTTTTTGTATCCAAAATTGTCTATTTGTTGACTTTGGTCTTTCTTCCCTGAAAGCAGGTTTTCTGTTTTCACTTGCAAATGCGATACAGAACATGGGTATAAAACAAAGCCCTGTTAAAGCCTTTATTCTATAGAGACCTGTCTTATTTGAACAAATGTGGCGTGAGAGAAGGAGAGGCAGGGTTAGTAGCCTTTGCCTTGTGTGGCTAATGTTACATGAATCTTTATTTTCCTTCTCTAAAAAGATGGAAGACTGTTTGGCAAAAAAAATGGAAATCACTGTTTCGGAAGCCGAAAAACGGACTGGGAGGAATGCCATGAACATGCAAGAAACGTACACTGCTTACCTCATTGAGACAAGGTGGGTGATGAGAGCTCACTCTGAGTACATGGATGTGCCATTCTAAATGGGTTCTCTCTCTTTCCCCCCGAAAATATTGAGGTACAGTTAATGAGAGGATTTAGTTTGTTTATGACTTGTTACGTGATTATCAGTCTACTCTGGAGGATCTTTTCCCATGAAAACTTGGCATCTGAGCTCCATTTCAGTATTAATGCTGGTGGTGTGTAACTGTGTACTGTAATTCTTCATTTGGAGCTAGGTGGAAAAATGTGTGCTTTGAAGATGTTGCTTTAATATGGTGTCAACAACTGCTTGGTTATTTCTTAGACGTGGGTTGGATGAATGTATGTATATGTTAGGTTGTATGTGCAGCTTGTATGTGAGAGAGGTTGTGCTTTGTGGTCTGAAGTAATGATTAGGCTTGTTTGGGATCACAAGAAAATAAAGAAGTCTCATGACTTATGTCATGTGGTCAAAATTTACTGCTCCATGAATATTTGAAGTGTTTTGCTTGATCTGATCACCACATACTCCTTGTAGATGTTCTAAGGGTTAGGGTTAATTAACTGTTTCCTTCCTTCATACTAGTGTGAACTTTTACTGGAGAACTTTCTGCTTTCAGTCTTCTTGTGTTAGCAAGATTAATAATACAAGTACGGTAAACACGTTTGGTACCACAAAGAGAACTTGCAATTTTAAGTATTGAGTAGTGAACAAAGCTTTAAAATCTCTTCTAACTTACAGTTACTTCCCAAACAGTCACAGATGACTTACATTATGCAGGATCATGTTACACATCTGAAGCAAGAATTTCAAAATTAGACTTTATTAGGAGTTTTCTCTCTCTCTCTTCTCTATATTAACATTTTTAACCTTTGGGCCTTGCCTCAGGAATGATCTGCTGTACAGATAAAACCTTCTGAAACAAAGCAGTTGCATTTTGCAAAGGCTCTGAAGGGTTCAAATTGTAATATTATCACATAAGTCTTCTAGTTACTAGTTAAAAGGCTTCTTAGCTTTTTTAACTGATGAAGGGACGCTCCAGTCACGCTAACTGCAGACCTACTGGGGTACATTTACTGTATTTTGCTAAACTTCAAGAATAAAATCCAAAATAGATGTATGTTATATTTTTCAAATATTGTAGCTCTTTGGCAGTTGCTCAGATGTTTAAAAAAATACTTTTACAGTGTATTGATGTTAAAGATCACATCTTCTCATGTAAGTAGTGTTATTTTTCTTTTAATGATATTTCTGAAGGAAAAGAGAAGAAAACTGGAATCATTGGTGTCTAACTGTGATGTGAAGTGTGCTCTGGGGGCATCTTTATGCAGCCCCAGAACATGCTGACTGCATCTCCTTTCCCAGCCATCCTTACATTGCTTTAGACTCGCTCCTGCTGGTCTTTCCCAGTGGTTCCTTCGTAGTGGCAAAACTGTATTTTGCTGCCCAGATTGCTTTCTTTCATTAAGATTTGTTTTATTCTGTGGTCAGCAGATACCAAGACCAATTACATGTTTGTCACAGAACTATTGAAAATGTGGGTTTGTCACATCCCTAATAAAATAGGTTCTCTATTCCTTTTGCTGAGAAGGCAAAATTTCTTGCATAAATATAATTGCTGCCTATTAAATGTGCTTCCTGCTATCACAGCAATTTGTCTGTGGGTAATAGGATATTTTATAGCTGAAGAATAAAACTCAGTTTATAGTAATATAAAAGGAAGACCACTTAATAGTTGCATTACATTTATGTGAACTGGGGTTCCACTGTTACTGCTATCTAGTATTTAATTTCAATTTGAATTGAGGAATTGCATGCATCTGGGTGAATAAGAGACACAAGATGGATGCAATTACAACCACTGTATATTTGTTACAGAACAGGAGCTGAGTACCTAAACTTTTAACACGTTAGTTTCACTAGTGCCAATGAAACTGTTTTCAAAATGCAAGAGACTCTTGTTTGGGTTTTTTGTTGGTGTTTTTTTTGGGTTTTTTTAAGTGATATTACACCTCCAGGTAGATCTCTTTCTTTGAGACAAAACAAACTCTGCTGCTGTAGGCTGCGGAGCCTCAGCAAATTCCAAGGGTTTTGCTTCCTGAAAGCATCTCCTTTATTCTTGGTTTACACCTTTCTGCATTAGCTAAGTAGATTTTTGTGGTGAGCTATTTCCGTTCAATTAGTCTTGAAGTCGGTTTGTTTCACAGCTTCCATTAAACTCTACAGTTATTTAAAAATAACTTAGTTTCTATATTCTCCCTGTAAGAACAGATGAACACTTCCACCTCTTTGTGAGAGAATGGCATTAAGGCAAATAAAAATTCTTATAATTAAGATGTGTAACTAAATATTCCTTCCTGAGATGTTGGTGCTCAGCATATCACTTGCTTTCTGTAAGGGAAATTGCAAATATCCAGGACCTCACTTAAATTCAGATTTTCTCGCTTTTCAGAAATTTAGGCAGCTCTGTCTTATACCAGAGTCTGCATGAAACTACGAGAACTGAGAGAGTATAAGACACAGATTTGACTCCTGGTCTTGTACCCTTCGTTTTCCATGACAGAGCTGAAAGTTAATCAGAAAGAGCACCTCTAAGTGCTCTGAGTTGATGGATCTTTAATTATAGTACATACAGAGGTGCCTTTTTTCCTGTTCTCCTTCAAAGTAAACAAATTCTTCTGTAGTAGTAGGACACACTCATTTAGTTACCTTTGCTTCTGTCTGTGCTGACTTTCAGATCTCTAGCCTGGTCCTCCTGGTCACACAATATGATGTCGACAGTGTGGTGGGGGTTTTTGTTTTTGTTTTGTTTTTTCAAATGTGACTTTAGGAAAAAGTAACACAACTTTGTGCAGCCTGGTAGCTGACTACTTAATAGCAGGATCTGTGGTTTCCAGCCCTGCTAGGCTTTACTTCCTTTTGAAGTAATTTCACAGGGTAGCTCACTGTATTTCCTTGTTATCTCCCCAGTATGGCTGGGGAAGTTACTAATCTTATTTCTGCTTTCAGTATTTGGAAAGTCTTCCATTAGTTAAATTGCGCCATGAGTGATACCTGCTTCTCCCTTAAAACCTTGCATTACCCATCCAAAGTGTAAGGACTTGTAAAGAAAGTTTCTGTGAGAGAAATGAACTTGGAAATCAGTAGGCAGCCAGGTCACAGTTCAGTGGTAGCAGTGCTGCACCATGGGACTTCAGGAGTCTTTCCTTTGTTACGTTTTGTTTGCATTCCTTTCCCAAAGCCTCCCATTCCACGTTGGGCTAGGCGAAGAGCCCAGGCATGCGTTTCCGGGGGAGAGGCACAGAATGAGTGCCCGCAGAGGTATGCTGTCTTCCGATAAAACAACAAAATGCAGATTTTGGTCATTGAGAGTCAGGAAGACTTGCCTGCTCCCTCCAAAGGACGTGTTAGGAAAAAAGGAAGAAAGTCTGAATTGAGGATGAGCTTTAAACATGGGAGAGTCAGGAGATGAAAGAAGATGGAGGAGTTGAAAACTTACTTTGCTACTGATTTGTGCTTAATTGATACTATGAATCATTAACCTGCCTAGTGGATGTATATTTTAGTTAAATACAGCAAACTATTTAGGTGACAGTGTTAAAAAAAAAAAAAAAAAAAAGTTGCCTGGCTGTGAAAATCTTCTGACAAGAGAACTGCCTCTTTGTCATACAGCTTGCCAGGTAACTTTTGGTGGTTTACAGAGCACGTAGTTGGTCTGTAATGATTGCTCTTCTGTCTGTTGAGAGGCCTAAATACAGAGATGACTTCTAAATAGCTAATGGAAACAGTTGCCCAGCCCTCTAAAATGGTGTTCCTCTACGTGGAGAGTGAACCTTGTCTGCCATAGGGGAGTGGAAGTGTCGCTTCTCGTATGCTGGAAGGTCAAAGGCTGAAAGCAAAGTTACTGCTTCTGCGATTGAAGAGGTGATTGCTTTTACAAGGAAATAAACTGATTTATTTCCTTCTCGTCTGATTTAATATTTTGCAACCATTTCTCTTTTTATTGCATTCAGAATTGTTTAATGGCTCATTTAAGATAATTAGTTTTAAATGTGAAATGGGAAGAGGTTAATTAGATGGACTAAAGTTTTCACATTGGCACTTTGAATTAAGGCAAATGAACGTGACTTTTGGAGTAATGCAATCTTCTAATCGCTTATGATAACATCAGTTATGAACGTAAAAGCTGAAGGTTTCAATTTTGTCTTTTAATTTTTTTTAGGCAGGTTGGTTCATTCAATGAATAACTTGCATTGTTAAAACTGTACTTAGAGGGGAAACATATGGTTTTCTTGCCCGAAGACTGTACAAGTATTATATTGTGTTCTTAAAACCAAAACAAATTGAGAAGTTTGACTGAATGTCAACAAGTGATTATAATCTTAATTGAAACTGGTCTGCAGTACTTGCATTTAATGGTGGAGTTCATAATGTGGTCTAAAAAATTAGATGGTAATGAAGGTATTAAATGTAATGAGTACCTTTGTGGATTTCTACTTCCTTTCTGGAACGGGGTTCCTGGGGAGAAATGCTCTTGTAATTGGTGATATTTTATGGTCTCATATGTAACCAGGTGGAGACATTTTTGGTGTGATTTTAAAAAAAAAAAGAAAGATTTCTCTCATCTTGCTTGCCTGTCCCAAATCCACCCGTGCAGTTTCAGACTCTTACTGCCTCGTTGAAAAGGCAGTGGTGTGGACGCAGGCTCATAACTGAGGGCTGTACAGTACTTTCCCACCACAGCTTTGCAAAGAACTTTGCTGCTCCCCTCCTTTACCTAACTCCGCTGCGTTCCGCGCTCCAGAGAGCAGAATCTGGCTGCTTTTACTTTATCAAAGCCTAGGTGTAAGAGGGAATCTTAAACTAGTATTAATAACTTCAAATTGTGTATTAAATTTATTCAAGTGGGTTAATTTAAAAAGCACGGCTTCTTTTCTGGGTGCTACACAGCTGCCCTCCTGAAATGTTGTCTTCCCCCTCTGGGCACTAAAAGTCACTTGGGCAAGTGGCACTTT